TAAATAAATATATATATATATATATATAACAGCAACATAATCTATTACATACATAATAAGAGACAACAAAATCATTAATTATTAATAGTTTCCATAATAAATCCAAATAATTAAATTGTTTATCAAAAATTTTATCAGAAAATTTCTGATTATGTTTTAAAATAGAATTTATATCCATTCTATTTATTCCTTAAATAGTTCTACATTAATTCTAAACACTAACTTTTATGATTTCTTTTGAATTTTATTTATTTATTCTACAGAAAACATATACAAGAATATTAGGATTATTAGATGTCTTTTACATACCCTCTTTTTAAGATGTTAAACTATCTTGAAATTTATGAAAATGTCCCAGATTTACCTATTGGTAATAATTTTGTTTTATAACATGCAACTACTCATAATTTTAATTATTTTGATTTTTAATACAATTCTGCAATTATTGTGACCTAAGTAGTACTTCTGGATTATTAATAAACTGTCAAAAAAAACTGATTAAAATAAAGGTCAGCATACATTAATTATTAGAATTTTTGTTTGAGTTAAATGATAGAAATCTAATTCAAGAATAAAATTTAAATAAAACTTTCAGTAACTAAAGAAAATGCCATCATTCATAATAAAAGTTACTATAATGTAACATATTCTTTCTCAACATTTTACTAAAATCTTTAGATTAATCAGTTTATATTATATCTGAATTGTAAAACTGTTAAATAAAATAATATTTATCAAATAGCATAGTGCAATTTCATTTCAAACTTATTTAAATTAAGTAACATTACTTAGTGCAGAATAGTGAAGATAAATTAATGTAATTTAATTTGTTTACAACGTTTTAAGGAGAATTGTTATCTATGGGGAAAGTGTGTCACTAAGCAGTGCATGGCATTATCCTTGAATTAAAAAAGTGAAGTAAATAATTTAAAAAGATTTTTAAATGCAATATTTTGTAAAATCTAGTAAGTTACAGTCTCCATAATTATAAATGCATTTAAATTCAAATATTTTCAAAATTGTAGATCCATCATTCTTACATATGATGTAAATTTTAAATCATCACATAGATGTGTTTTCAAAAATAATCTCAAGGGGTTTTTTGGGAAATTATAAATATTTTAAATATTAAAATTATAATCCATTAGATTTGGCATTTGATTGATATAAGATAATCTCTGAATCATAATTTATAGCTTAAAATCAATATATAATATAAAACTGAATTGCCAACTGAAAATTAATATATTCTGTTATCACTTTTAGTTTTTGTTTCAAGGCTCTCTTGCTAACATCACACATTTAAAATTTAAAAAATACTGAAATTAATTAAGTGCTTAATAAAATCAATATAAAAGTAATGTTTAATTAAACTTAATTAACATGGCATGTATGTATAAATTCCTGATAATTACTAAATGATAACAATAATTAACAGAATAATTTCTATCAACTTAATCTAAGTGGTAAGCTGATTCATCAAAAACCCATTCATTATTCACTTTCACATAAACAAATTAAAGAATAGACAATTATAGAATCTTCACTAAAATCACTATTTTCCTTCTACATACAAATTTTATTATTATTACAAATTACAAAAATATAAACTTTCTAAGGTAATTAAAAACTTTTTAATTACCTTAAAATTTTGAAACTCAAATCTGTTAACAAATTCATAAAATATTCACTATGTAAAGAAATAATATTAAGAATTTTCTGTACTAAAATATTTGATTACTATTTGATACTAAACTATGTGAAACTAAAATAACATTTTTATTTTAGTATCACATATTAGTGTCATATTTAATATTACAACTATATATAAGAAAATTCAGAGTATTGTATAAAAGTTAATAACTAAAGAGAAATTAAATGATAAACTGTCATAAAATTAACATCTTATTTAATGACTATATATTATTTTTTAGGAGAAACTTTTATCATATCGGCGTTAAATTACAAATAAATGTCGCTAGACCGACAAGCGCTTTCGACGATAATTATTTTCGTCTTCATCAGGTCGTTAAAAACGGTTAAATTCCTTTTTTTGAATACAAGTAAGTACTTGTTCCAAAACGTATTAACGTTTTGGAATGGAAGCAACAGTAGAACGTAAGAATTTTTTTTTAAAATAAAAACACGTATGGTTGTAATGCGCATGTGCTATACGCCTCCAAATTGTGGAGTTAGATACGTTTTTTTTTAGATAGTTATACAAATTGATCCACAAAGGGGGCAAATCAAGTGTGGGGGTGATGCAGGGATTTAATATGTTGGTAAGGAGGGCCTCCCAAACATACACAAGACTTCTGTTATTGCAATGTCTTACTATGGCCACCTCGTCCCACAATGGGGTATGCTGGTGTCGTAATACCATTCTAGTAAGCTCAGTTTCATTCTTACCTTCCCTGATAGAATACTGATGCTCTGAAATACGATAAGATAACATTCTGGTTGTCGCACCAATATAATGGGTGCAACCACCCATCATATTTTCTAATGGGATAGAATAAACCCCTGATCTTTCAAAAATGGAAGTAGGATCTCCGTCATTGGACAGCAACCTCCTAAGATTTGGTCGTGGGGAAACCGGCAGAAAAAACGCATGTCGCCTAAAAATAAGGCAAATACGAACCGTGACATGACTACAAAACAGTATCGTAAGAAGGACTATTGTGGATTCTTTCGGGAGATGTAGTGTAGTAGCAGCAAAAAGCAATCTTTTTACCTTATTTAAGATGTAGATAAATTTTGCATTATTGTAGCCCACCTCATTTACTGCACAGCAAATAATATTAAGCTTGGTATTGATAGCAGCTTGGCTGGAAGATAAAAGAAAGGCCCTTCTAATTAAAGGTGCAATTGCCGCAT